TTAAAATATTTACTGAGCCGAGATAATATTTTCAACATTCGGCCACCATTTTTTTCTGCGATGACAAGAAACAAACACTGAATTAAAAACTCATCAGTCTCTTGACAGCGGGGAAATATATAGCGAAATATCGCTAATATTTTTAAACCCGTCTAATCTTCTAAATATATGAAATATATATTACAATGTCTTCCCCTTTGGTGGTGACTCATCAGCTCTGCGGCTTTCTTCTCTGCTGAATGCGCCATCCACATTTTCGACCGTAGTAAACTGATATTATTCAACGGAAGACCTTCGCGGCTCGAAATAAAAGACTCGAAGTACTAAGAGAGGACGATTTCAAAAACGCGTGCTTATTCATGGAACTTTGTTCGTACCGAGGGGGACGACTCTATCTACGATGCAGGAAATATTGTGTTTTGCTGTGGCTAGCTGCGTGTACGCTGAGTGGATAGAAAGAAAATTTATCACGATTTTGAAGATTTCCTGCAAAAAGATGATTTGCGATGCAAGTAGATGCGAGAAATGCAAGAAGATTTTTCGAAGATTTATTCACTAGTGTGATATTTTTTGAGCATCTAGAATTGAGATTTAGATGTGTCGCCCCCTCGGTTCGTACAGTAATAGGTAGGTAAAATGAAAAACGGAAATAGTCGGACAGCAGTAGCGTCGCCAAATGGGGCACACAGGGTTGTGCAATGGATTGAGCATAGGCGTAGGGTTTGCATACTTAACATAAACTCTGCGTTCGTTTCCGCAGGTCTACACATATGTACAGACGTGCAGTAACATTTGTGTTCAAGGTTATCTAAAATGTAATATTAAAAGCATACTGCTGAATGTTTTTTTTTAAATGTCTTTCAATCTTGTACCTTCAGTGTTGTCGGCTTCATCAGCATAATCGGAATCGTTAAAAGAGTGAAGTGTCACAAATTCAAACTTTGTGATTTTTTGCTTTCCATTGATGCTGTTAGAAAAATCAATGGTTTCCTCGCTACATCCCATCGAAATTAACCATTCTCTGGCTTTCTCTTCGGCTTGCCGGATTGCAGATAATATCTCAAGGTTGGTTGGCAGCTTTACTGAAGTCGCTTTAGTAGCTTTGGCATCTTGTTTTCTTTGTGTAGGGAACGTCAGCTGAGATTTTTTCCTATGAGAGATGAGCAGCTTCATATTGACTTTCCTCATTCTCTCTTCAACTTCTTTCACAGTTGGAGGCGAACCAGCCCAAGGCTGAAAGCCTCCCTAATAAAGATAAATAATAATAATTCTTTCACAGTGAAGTTAACAGCCGTATGGTTAACGGAGGTCATGGACCGAAGTTCCCGGAACGCACTCTCGCATGGTTGACTTGACAGGTGGTTGACGATGAAGTGCTCCGGACTCTCGCGCATATTGACAATGAACTGTATTAGGCCATGAGCATTGAGCTCCAGTGAAATGTAGGCGTTGGTGGTTGGACAGTGCTGGAATGTTTGAGTTTCTTTCATGCTCTGCCAACGCCAGGCGCGCAATAGCAGTAACGAAGTCCTGGAAAGTGTAAAAGCGAAGACAACAAATCAAGAAGACTGGCAACTCTTTCATTTTCTCATACGAAAGCTATGAGACAGGTACAATCGCGTCATCTGCCGCTCAAAGGTAAATGTTTCGAACGAATTTGATAGCAAAGATTACATCCTCAGACGAACGGTTTGTGTATTTGCTCATTTTTCTATGCGTTGCTTCCATCTTCACTCAAGCACAGCGCTGTTGTATCTGTCGCTTGAATTTTGGCAAAGTTACCAGTCTTCTTGTTTTGTTGTCTTCGGTAAAAGTAAGGGTTTGCGTTTGCATAGGTACATACCACACCGAAACAACCCGGTCGACTGGCACCATATCCTCGTCATCGGTAAAAGAAACGTATACGTTCCTCATCATCTCCAAATAGATGGCGGTCCCTCTACTTCCAACAACGGTTTCCTTTAAATGTTGGATTAAATCCGATGCCATCAGCTTCAGCGAGGGATTGAACTTCATCTTGTCATTTGGGTTCAAATCAGAGGGATTCAATTTATGAACCCCTTTGCACCCTCGCTGAACCATTTCGTTCACTACGGCGACCGACACGACGAATTGCCCTACAATTAATGGTGATGTGATGTCATACATATTCTAGTACTTTTCATATGCATTAAACTTTTTATCTAAACGCATATGCCGCTTCGGGTCCAGCAAAGCATGGCGTAGCTTGTTGACCAGGTGCACCGTATCCTGGATGCACACTGGTCCACTGGTGAGATCAGCATCAAAATATGGCCCATACACTATGTTAGAAAAAGAGCTAGGTACTGCTGATCTTTCCTTCATTGCCTTCAGCAGTCGAGGGTCGCCATCCGATGAGAGCTTAGTATTTTTTCCGGCAAAAGTACACAACGGACAAGTAATTTCCGCTAGGTATTGTTTCTGGCAACGGTACACAGCATTCATCAAGTTTGACATGAAGTATTGCTGATCAAAGTGATATTTCCTACGAAACAGAAAATTAAAATTTTAATTCAAAGGTTGCAACCTGTTGCAACTACATTAGCTTGGATTTTAGGATGATCAGGACCGAATGTCACATTACTGAAGTCGGTCAAAATACCTTTTTGGTACAAGCTTGGTACAAGTAGTGCATTCTAAATTCGCTAATTTCATTTTAATTCCACCCTTCTGTATACTTACGGATTGGCGAAATGGGCTTCAATCTTCATTCGGAGTTTTTCCTTGTGGCCATCAAATTCGTCGTCTTGTTCCTCGGCGGACCCAAGATGCATTCGCGCCCTGATTCGCGCTTTTTTACGTGCTTTCAAAAACGGCTTGATGCCATTTGTTCGCACAATATCCGCAAGATCCAGAATGCAAAGGATCTCTCCCTCCATGAAACTAAACTCATGTGGTCGATCCGCGTACCTCCCATACAAGCTTTCGAGAGATGATCTACCAATGGCTGCCTTCTCTGCCACGTTCTGTGCCATCTCTCGCATATCTCTCTGAATGAGCAATATTTCTTCCCTGGTCAGCCTTGCTAATGACATGCTGACCAGGTTCGATAGCTGCAGTATAGACTTGATGTGAAGACTTAAGCAAACCCCACACGCATCAATATATTGACGCGAAGGGGAATTATTGACAATAATATTGATGGTGTGAATTCAGAAATATTGTCAATCTCGATATATTGACGTCAATATAGTATGTATTGACAATACGATTATTGTCAATAAAAGCAATCGTGTAGGGTTCACTTTACGTTACCATACACTGCTTCGATTTTCATCCAGAAATAATCCTGGAAATTTTTTGTGTGTTTAATTTAATTTCAAAAAAGCTGAATAAAAGCTTACCTCATCCATTTCTAAAAAAATCAAGACGGATGGACGGATGGGTTTTGTTCTGCTGGTGTAAAATAATTCAGTCTCAGGTTCAGCTTGCTAGTTTTATAATTTTATTGTAAATAATTAAGTCTGGAGCAGAAAAAAACAGTTTTAGGCTTTTTCAGTGGAGTGAAAAGGTAAGGAAAAATCCATCATGTTTTACGCATTCAGTTGCTGTTTGCCAATAAGAGTAAAGAGTAACACCAACCGGTGAACACTCGTGTTTATTTCAGTTACCATGGAGACGTAATTTGTGATTAGCCCCGGTCCCTTTCAAATTGTATCATTATTTATGAACGGCCTTATATTTGAAATGACGTTTCACATTCATCTAGTGATGTCCGATTTTCATTCGAATAATCGTTTATCGATTAACGAACCGAAAAGTAAACTATTAATAATCGGTTAGATCATGCCGATATAAGCATTAACATCTCCACAGGATCATCACCGATCGTTTCAAACATGTGCTGCACTCTCATTGGTGGAAAAATGGCAGCACAGCGAACAAAAAATAATCGATTAGTTGTTAATCGAGTAATTAAAAAATGGGACATCTCTGATTTTGGTGATTGTTTTGATAAAAATGAGCGCAAAATTTCATCTCTTCCGAGGGGGCAGCAAAACCACAAAATTACCTTGAATACGGGGGGTTCTCATTGGATGAAAGGGACCGTGAAAGAAGACACTAAAATAGAAAGTTTTTCTTTCGACAATTTCATCTTAGTATTCATCTTTGGTAACACATTCGTCATAGATGCAAAGCTACTGTTTATAAACATAACAATCGAATACTTGATCGAATGTAAACAGTCATGGAAGTGGTGCCAGAATTAATAGAACATTCTGGTGGAAGTGTGTTTGGAGTGTGTCGAACTGTGTTTTTGGAGTGTTAAACACTAGGTGGCAGAGTGAGTTACCCCCTGGATTGGAACAATTTTCTAAGGTTTATGAAACATTTAATCGTTTTAATCAAGGTTGCAAATACTCATTTCAGTTAAAGTAAGGTTTTTTTGAATTATTGAATAATTAGATGCTATGATCAAATTATGTATTGGTAAGATACAAGACGAGATTTGAAAGAATGCGTTTGACACATTGCACCTGTTTATTTAACTTCATGAGAGTCACAATCAACGATTTTTCACTCACTCACTCACTCAGCGATCAGCAAATCGCCGATTTTGACTCATAAAAAGCAAAAGTGACAGGTTGTATGTGTCAAACGCATACTTTGTAACCTCTTCTTGTAACTTACAAGTAAAACATAAGCCGGCAGCGTGACTACTTTCTATCGTGCTTTCTTACCCAAATGGGTCAAACCCAGCCGAGGTTGGTGGGATTTTTCTGAGGCATAAAAATCTCTGGTCACGTCTTCCAACGGCTTGGTCCCGGCCCATGTGTGCAATATCCTACGCAGGTGTGGAAGCTGCCATAGATTGCGGAACAGAGACCGACGTTAAATAAAGGAAAGAAGAAGAAAAGGTTCGCACTGACAATAAGCTCGGGTTCGCATGGGTTGAAACTGGTTCCAACCTGGATAATAAACAAATTCGCTATTAGTGAGATTCGGTATGTTCCTCATTGAAGCAAAACACAGTATGTACTTTATGAACACGTCTCTTATACATTTACTCTTTTATTAATACTTTTACCAATAACTTGATCTTCTCAATATTCTAAGAAAAAGCACGTTCACTTCTAGTAATAAGATCTAGAACTAGAGATTTTTTGTTCACTTCTAGATTGTCTATTTTGCTGTTTTTGCTGTTATCACTCTTAATTTCGTCTTAACTCAAGTAAAGTCACTTCTTCGGAACTAAAATTATCTGCTTCAACTTCACTCTTCGGTCTTCGGTTGCACGATTTTTATACACAGGGCCTTTTATTGTTTGTCTCTATTAATGTTAGGAATTTTAGTGATTATACAAAGCTAACGTATAAAAACTAAAACATTCTGCTTGACTCTTCTTTGTCTTGTTTGACGGCGGAAAAGAAATCAATCTCCTTTTGCTGTTCCACCTATTCGTAGAGATTCTTAATAAATATCAGTTTTTGCGGTCTCTTCTAACGTCGTCTTATTGAACACTGGTCGAGAATTCACTGGGATTCATACGCGCACACACACACACACATACACTCACGCACACGCACACTCTTCTATAAACAAGTCACCGTTTGGCAGGAAACTTATTTGTAGTACGAAGTCTGCACCGGTCGACTGCCGGAGGTGTACGTGCTCATTGGTATATTACTCTGGGCCTTCGAGGTTGGAATCGGTGTCGTGCCACCACCGAGCGTGCTGGTGATGCCGTACAGATGTTCCGTTCCCGTTGGGGCGTAGTCCACGTCGTAGTAGATGCCGGACTGTTGAAAGAATTATGAAACAATTTGGAAGCTCAACCAGAATTTTGAGTACGAATTACACTTACTGTCACGCTAGCGTTGCTTCTGCTCTTCGGTCGTGGAACGTTGTGGAAGTTCCGCCCGAGCAGATCGGCCCGGTCCTCCTCCTCGCTGGAGCTCGAGTTTTCCAACGTTCGCATGCCGTTGCGGTTGAGTCCCAGACTCCTGTTAAGAATACTGGAATATTTTAGATTTTTAATGTTTCGCAAAATATTGATCCCAGGTTTACCTTGGCAACGGAACGGGTGGAAGGGTGCCACCGTGCATCGGTGGTAGGGTACCGTGCATGCTCATCGTTGTCATGTTTCCGATCGACTGCAGATTCGGGTAACCGTACATGGCCGATCCTGGCCGGGGTGGTGCCACGGGTTCAGCCTGCAAAGTCGGGAAAGTCTGATCATAGTGAGTTAATAATCGGTTTTCCTGGCATGACAGTCAACGTACCGCATAGTGGTTGGCCTGAGCCATGACGTCCGCTATCTGTGCCCAACGCATGCGATCCTCGAGCGTCACCTGGTAGGGGGCCTGTCCCATGACCGGGGTCTTCACCTGACCACCGCCCATGTAGCCAAACACCGGGCTGCCCATGGCATTCTTGTGCTCACGTTGCCATTTGCGGCTGTCGGGGAGGGACAATGTTGCAAGTGGAAGAGAGTGATTAGTAGGTTTATTGATTTAATGCAACACGGAGTCTACGATCCAGAACTGTGAGTATAAAAGTGAAAGCTGCGTAGGTTTACTGAACCGTCCAATGTCCAACTGGGTGGTGCATCATGAGATTATTGGTGCTATTGAGACTATAAAACGATTTATTTTATTGGTGATGTGTTGTAAAAAAGATGTGAAGGACAGTTTCTTCAACTTTTGCGCTCAGCACTTCGTTGACTAAACCTATATAGAGTCATGTTATTTAACTTTGTTGAAGTGAAAGTCTATAAAGTGAATCTATCAAAGCTGATTGGACTTTTTGACGTAGGACTACGTCTGTGATTTCTACATGGCGGTACACTTTGTGAAAACCGAAAATGGAACATGTAACAAAATTATGAAAGATTTTGAACGTTAATAACTCAGCTGCCCCTGGACCAATTCCAATAATTTTATCACCAATCGATCAGAAATATTTCTACGCATCTGCATCAAAACGTGACTATTGAAAATTGCACGAATGTGCAACTGTTGCTATGATAATTAAAATTATCACCGATTGCCTGCGAAAAGCGATTTCCCTAACACAGATTTCAAAGTTGAATTTCAGTACACACCGAAGGGTCCCTGCAAGCAGCTAGCTAGCTATCAAGGCTGGCCTCAACCGCTGATTGGGTTCAGTTCCAATCACCGTGTGTGGTGGTGTCCGGTCGTCGGCGCGTAGCGTCGAACATTGCTCTCCAGTACACAACGAACGAGACAACGAAAGGCTGCCTTCAAGCAGCGAGCTTCAGCCCACATGAACATCCATAGAAAGAGGCACTGCTATTTATCGGAATCAGTAGCTCTTCGTGAGTCACTGTGGGCCATCTATGCCAAGCGCATCACCCTCATTCCAAACAACATTCAGCCCACCAGCCTCATCTGTGTTTAACACCCTAATAGCTCAGCATTACTCAACCATCACGACAAAACGGTCCATACCATACATTTGTAAAAGAGTATTTTTTTTGGATATTTGTCAAGGTCATCAATCGGATGTCAGCTCCCATATCAAGATAGAGCTGGAATTAGGGCGTAACAGATTTTGTAAATAATGACTTCTTTCGATGATGTCTTGAAAGTCAAGGCTCTCCCACGCAATGGCGGTAAGACTTCCCCTACCCGAGGGTATTGTTGGTTTGCGTGGGCGCCTTAAATTCCTAAAAATCTTCAAGAGAAGTGATTGTTTACAAAAGCAGTCACGCCTAATTCCAGCTCTATCTAGATATGTTTAAATATAACATACCATGTTCTTGAAGGCAACATTGGGGGTGCAATTTCAAAAACCAAAGTCGGTCGCGGCATGAAAGTGGTCTGATTTTGATCCAGAGATGATGGAGTTTAATTCCAATCGATAGGAATTTTTCCTACGAATCTGTTAAAGTTAAGACTTTATCATTTTTAAAAACGTCACTATTGAAAATTGCACGAATGTGGAACTGTTGCTATGATAATTAACATGAGAAAAGCGATTTCCCTAACACAGATTTCAAAGTTGAAATTCCATCCGGCCTCATCAAACGGTGTTTATTCAATCACCGCGTGGTGAGTGGTGGTGTTCTCCACTAAACAACGAAAGGCTGCTTGCAAGCAGCGAGCTGCAGCCCACATGAGCATCCATAGAAGGAGGAAGAAATTGCACCGCTATTGATCGGAATCAGTAGCTTTTCGTGAGTCGCTGTGAGCAATCTATGTCAATCGCGTCATATATCGTCATATATATCGAGTATAAACAGAGAGAACCCCGCTCAAATTCCTATTCCTACACAAAACACAAGCTCCTGCTGCAGTTCAAATACGATTTATTATATAAGACCACGTAGTCTTACGTCACTGTTGCGTACAACCCCTTAGGGTTGTCCCTTGTAGTTTTATCTTTATTAAGGAGACTTTCAGCCCTGCAGCTGGTTCGTCTCCGGTGAGCGTATTTTTTACAATGTTCGTGTTGACGGCTGTTTTCCTCGTGAAAAGGAGCCCAACTTCTGCGTTATCAACTAGTGACACGCCAGCTGAACTGGTACAGGAAGAAACCTCAAAAGAAGGTACGTGTTTCTGGATGTCAAGCCTATGCGTGGGTGCCGAACCAGCATCGAAAGAAGCTGGACGCTAAGAGCCGTGAGCTGCTGATAGTCGGATACGCACCAAATGGTTACCGTTTATGGGACAAGAACAACAGATGTCAAGTTACCAAGAATGCTTTCCGTGGACTAACGATACCAAAAACCTTTCTGAAGAGCGTTTGGTGGTTCCTCAACTCTACGAGCAAGAGGGGGAAGAGAATAAGCTGACCGAGCAGATCGTCGACGATACCGTTCCGGACGATCCATTAGACGATGATGATCAAGTCCTGACCGATGATGAAGATCCAGCGGAACCAGACAACTCCGCGCACCCGTCGCATTCAGATCTGGACGTGAATTTCGGCCTACCTGGTGAACCGTTCAAGACGCATAGCGAACGGGAGCGCAAATTTCCGGGTAAGTTACTAGACTATCTTACCGGCTTTGGAGAAACTGCTGTTGATTGTCTCTCCACGTCAGATGTTCCCAAAACGTACACTGAAATTGCGACCTGTGGTACCAGGCGATAAACGAAGAGCTCAACTCCATGACAACTAACAACCCAAGTGACAATTTGGGTTTTATGAAGGTTCTGCAGACCATTAATTAGACTTGTAGAAACCTATAAAACCTCGATAAAGCATGAAATGTTACTTGGGAATGTATGGAAGCTGACGTGCTCTGTAGGTGTGAAGCCTCTCAGAACGAAGTGGGTGTTCCGGTCATGTCTGAATCGATGCAATCCCAGTTACAGCAGCGTTGAGTTGAAACGTTCGCTCCAGCACCGTGGGATTTGTTTCAAATCGTACAGTACCCGAGACAGTACCTGTAGCTTACATACGCTGCCAGATTTCGCTTTCACGCCTTCTAGTACATCCAAATAGAGATTTTCTTTTAGTTCTCCGTGTAGTAAAGTTGTCTTGACATCTATCTGGTGGACACGAAAACCAGGATGGACAGCAACAGCGAGTACCACGCAAACTGTGGATAGTCTTGCCACTGGTGCGAATGTATCTTCAAAGTCGATTCCAGGACGTTGAAGGAAGCCCTTCACTGGCCACGTCCCGAATCGAAAGGTTCGGATTGCGCTTGATGTAATCCCTCACCTTCCTTGCGTTCACGGGGTCGGTCGTTTTCGCTTTTCTCCCGCTGCCAGCTCGCCGCTGGGTCGTCTGGGTCTCCTTGAACGATTTTACCACCCGGGACACGGTCGAATTGTCGATTCCAAACTGTTTCGCGATCCAGCTGTGGGACTGGCCTGGATTTTCAACGACCGCTCCCATAGTTTTTTGTCGAAGTACTTCTTGCTTGGAAGCCATCTCGATAACCACTTGACAGATTGTGATGAGTTTTTGCACATGTAAACATTACACTCTAAACTAGTTTTACTCAAAATTTCATCAATTTTTACCTATGCAATCAAAAGTTATGAAAGTGTTGTATTATTTTCGAATACAATCTTTTGTTGGAAGAAACCTTAGAACAATTGAAACACTGAAGCACCGTCTTTCCGAAGAGTTCAGCAAAGTTTTTCTTAGGAATACGACTCAACCAACAATCAATACGAAACTAACGATTTTAAATTGGCTCACTACTTGACTAGCCTATTGGTCCCAAGCAAATCGATTAACGTACCCCATTCTAGTATAAATTCCAGTACTAAAGGGTGATACGGTCAAAATTTGGTCAAGGGAAAACGCGTGTAAATCGGTGAAATCGTTTATTTAAAAAATCAAATTAAATTTCTTTTTCAAGTTCAATTAGTATAAAATTCAGGAAAAATATTCAGTTAGGCTTCCGCTTTTCCAAATCCGAATTGCCGGGCCTTACGCTTGACCCCTGCCATCAGATTTTGTACAGCCACCTTGTCCACCTTCTTCGCCGCAGAAAGCCAGTTTGCCTTGAACTGCTGCTCGCCCTTAGCAGTTTTTTTGGTCTTCTTTAGGTTCCGCTTGACAATAGCCCAGTATTTCTCAATTGGGCGGAGCTCTGGCGTGTTGGGAGGGTTCTTGTCCTTGGGAACCACCTGTACGTTGTTGGTGGCGTACCACTCCATGGCCTTTTTACCGTAATGGCAAGATGCCAAATCCGGCCAAAACAGTACGGAACAACCGTGTTTCTTCAGGAAAGGCAACAGACGTTTATTCAAACACTCTTTCACGTAAATTTCTTGGTTGACAGTCCCGGAAGCTATGAAAATGCTGCTTTTCAAGCCACAGGTACAGATGGCTTGCCAAACCAGATATTTCTTTGCGAACTTTGACAGTTTCATGTGCTTGAAAACATCTGCTACCTTTCCCCTTCCTTTTGCCGTATAAAACTCCTGTCCCGGAAGCTGCTTGTAGTCGGCTTTGACGTAGGTTTCGTCGTCCATTACTACGCAGTCAAACTTCGTCAGCATCGTCGTGTACAGCCTCCGGGATCGCGCTTTGGCCGTCGTATTTTGTTTATCATCGCGATTTAGAGTCACTACCTTCTTGTAAGTCGATAGTCCGGCTCGTTTTTTGGCTCGATGCACGGTTGTAGACGATACACCCAGCTTATTTGCGGCATCTCGGAGAGAGAGGTTAGGGTTTCGCTTGAAACTACCGGCAACTCTCTTTGTCGTCTCAGCGGCTTCCGGTTTTCGATTTCCCCCCGATCCAGACTTCCTGGCTGTCGACAAACGTTCCCCAAACACTTTAATTACATTTGTAACGGTTGATTTGGCAACTTTTAGCGATTTTGCCAACTTTGCGTGCGAGTAGCTCGGATTTTCGCGATGCGCGAGCAAAATTTTGATACGCTGCTCTTCTTGCTCGGACGGCATTTTGACAACTGAAGAGTGAATTCCAAAATCAAAATAGGAGCAACATTCTACACACACACA